GACTTTTGTTTTTGCAAATCCCCCCTTCTCTTGCCTCCCCCAATACTGCTATGAAGATCCTCCCAGGTATCTAGAGAAAACTGGAAGTAGTGGCACAAGGGGGTTGCAGAAGGAAGGAGCAAAATCAACAAAAATGCTTTTCGTTGCTCATCTACTAATAGAAAGCTTCTTCTCACTCAAATTGCCTTCCATATATGGAAAAACAGTATTGGACACCACCCTAGAGGTTCACTGAGCACAAAAGTTTGATAGTTTTGATCCTTGTCAAAAAGGCAATCAAACACATTTCCAGGTTGCACTGCAAGAATTTGGTTCTTGCTGATGTTTCATTTACAGAGAAGCATCTTGCTTTACATGGAAGGCCACAGCTTTTCCTCCTGCTAGTTCAACATAAAGATTACCGGCTTTGGTTTCTTCTGGTCACCGCCTCTCCGCTCATTCTTCTTGTAATTTTCATAAGTGGAGGGATCAATGCACCACAGACATTCTGTCCATTTGCCATAGATCACGGCAAGTTTCTTCTTACTGTTTTTTTTAAAGAATCGACAGTAAAAGAATTCTGGCTCTGTACATATCTAAGTTTAACCAAAACCTAGACTGAATTTAGTTCACTCAGAAGCAAACGTTATTTTATTCTCAACAAAGACTGCCAGAGAAAATGACACTATCTTGAACTCACCCTATGACAAAAAAGATCACTCACGTTCTGTACCAACAACATCACATGGCACATTTTTTGCTTTCCTACCATTAGATAATACGGACAAGGAGTGGGGAAAACATTTAACATCAGGACATGGTAAATGTCTGTATGTGGGTCACACAGGAAGTAAAATAAACTCTATAAAGTAACAGAGTTCAAAACGTTGTTTCCCTTTAAGATTAGTTTGCAGTCCCGTTAGAAAGGTTCAGTTCTTGCATTTAGAACAACAAACGAACTAATTGTCAGAACATAAGTGCTTAAGTTTATGCACCAACCAGCATTGCTGAGGAGACTGAAATTGAACAATTCTATGAAGATTTACAACACCTTCTAGAACTGACACCAAAGAAAGATGTTCTTCTCATTCTAGGGGACTGGAATGCTAAAGTAGGGAGCCAAGAGATAAAAGGATCTCTTCAAAAATGTTTGCTACTCTACTTTCCATTTTCCACCATGAATATGACTAAAAAATAAAGGCCTGGAAAATAAGGGTTCTGTGTTGACTTAGGCCTGGTAACTTCTGGTATTTCAGAACAGAAAAAAAAGGAGCAATGCAGCTTTCTAATATAATGTTGTATTTATTTTACACCCAGAATTTTAGCAACAAATATAAAATATTCACTTAAGGTAGTGATGTGAATGATCTGTTTTATAGTCCCATAACAAAATCTGAAGGGATGAAAAGCCTGCCACAATGCCAGCTAAAACGCAGGAGCTGCACATGATCTGTGTGGGGGTCATGCGTGGGTACATACTGACCCCTTTTGGGTCAGAGGTCCAAGCTCCCCACAGAAATCAAGCTTAGAAGCAAGCAGCTATTCTTCATTTCCACTAGGAACCAATGAGTCACAATGTCAATGCCCATCCCCAACCTGCAGCAAAGTTTCAAACAGAAAAATAATAGGCAGGCTTTTGAAAAAGAGAAGTGAATTGATTATTCATCTTCAAACACAATGGGCAAAATCTGATTGGCATAAATTTATACTGGTACAACCTACACTTGGCTCCAGAAACATTTGATTTAAACTAACAGAAAGCTTCCTATCACCCCCTTTCAGGTTCTGAGGCTCCCGAGGGCTCCTTTTTGCCCGGGGGGGGGAGCTCTGGGATGGGGGTGGGGAGGCAGCCTAAACACAATAAATCACCACTGGATTGCTTGCAGCAGTCCATCATCTCCATGGTGGTAATCTAGATGTTAATTTTGTTATTACAATTAAGTGCTCCCCAATCCACGTACCACTGCTCTCAAAGGCTTTCTCCATGGCAAAAAGGAGCACTAGGGAGCTCTGGAAACTGAAAATTTGGGGTGGGAATAGGAAGTTTTCCATTAATTTTAATTAAGTATTTCCAACACTCAGTTTGAGTTTTGCCAGTATCAATTTACACAACAGGATTTTAACCAATGTCCCAATGTCTTGCTCCTGAGAGTCCTTTGTTTCAAAAAGAAAAAGAAAATTACGATTCAACTTTTCATCAGTGCTGCATCTGTGTTATTACAGAAAAAGAGAGAAAGGTGGAGAGAAAGAAAGAAAGCTTGCTACACAACAGGGAAAACATGATAGATAGGTATATCTGTATACATGAGCTGTTAATGCCTCCTCAAATGAAAGAAGCATAGTGGAGCATAACTATTGAAAAAGTATATACGCATGACTTACTTTTTGTCCTGAATGTAGCCTTCTATTCTGTGAAGCTCTTTACCAAAAAGCCCACATGGTTTAAAATTAAGGATACATTTATCTCCAGTACTGCAGAAGAAAAAGTCAGGTCAACACATTAGAAAAGCCAGTACCCCGGTGCTAGATTTAGATACAAACAAATGTGTTATTTCTAGTGCTGTGATCATCACAGTCATTCAGTAATCGTCTGAGATATATTGTACTGCTTTAGAAAAATAAAAACGACAGGGTGAAAATATACATGTGTATCCACTGTCCACGCAGCTAGAAATGTTTTCCAAATTATGGCTACAGTATTTTAAAAGGGGGCACTTCATATGGATAAATCACTTCATATGGACAGATACAGTATTTCAATTCCAAACTCAAAAAGCAGTTAGTACAGTGGTCCCCAACCTTGGGCCTCCCGATGTTCTTGGACTACAACTCCCAGAAGCCTTCACCATTTCTGCTGGTCAGGATCTCTGGGAGTTGAAGTCCAAGAACATCTGGAGGCCCAACGTTGAGGACCACTGAGTTAGAAGGTTTGTTACAAAAGATGCTAAATTGAGAGACAGACCTATGTGCAGATGTCCTTGTAAAGTTTGTGTGTCAAATCTGCACAAGTCTTTTGGAAGCAAAAAAAGACAGTTTACTTATTACAACCTTGGTTCTTTGAGTGGCCATCTGTGCATTCATACATATAGGGTCTGCATCTGCATGAAGACCTCAAGGTATCATTTGGAACCTTCTAGCACTGAGTAATCAAGGTGGGAACATGCTCCTAGAGTGTGTTCCTGTAATTCTTGCTCAGTTCCTTTTAAGCCACACCGGTCCCTCAGAAGTAGCCAGAACAAGATCCAGCTAAGCATCTGTCAAGGAGAGTTAGTACCACAGTGGGGGTGGAGGGTTGATTGTCTAAAAGCACAGATGACCATCCAGGCAACATCCTCTGCCCACTTAGTAAACATTTAGCAACATCTGTCTGTTTCAACTTTGTGTGCTTCTTCCAAACACAAGAGGGGACAGGAAAGTCCCTCAGAAGGGAATACTGTAGCTTGGTACCCTTTTTATTATTATT